ATAATACTGTGCTTAGAATGAATACTTAATAAGTATTGCTCGAGTAAACATATCGTAGAGGTTCTTATGTAATATTTTGTTGAAGTCTTAAAGGACACCTATTAGTAGTTCGCCAAAATATGGATATTTAACTTGTGGAGTGCACTGAGTTGGCAAGTATGCTAATTTGTCTCTCTAGGTGGAAAACTACTAATTTTATTTCCTTGATGCGTGCGGGATATTAATTTCCCCTAGGAAATTTTTACTTGCAGATTTTTGATCTCTTTGATCTGAAGCAAAGAGGAGTCGTTGATTTTGAGGATTTTGTTATGGCAATGAATGTTTTTCACCCAAATGCCTCCCAGGAAGATAAGCTCACTTGTAAGTAAAAGAAAAGATGTATATATATCAATATTCTCTTACTTCATCATCAAAACAAAAAAAATAAGATATATATATCTCGGTATTTTGTAATTTCTTTAGTTTAATGCATTGCATGCAGACAGTCGCATGAAACTCCATTTTGTGCTATTGCAGTTTCGTTTAAGCTGTATGATCTGGATGGCTCAGGGTATATTGAACGACAAGAGGTGCGTTTCTTTTATGTATACTTTGTTTCTTTTTCATGTTATGTTGAGAGTGGCCTATGTGCTTCTTGTTATGTTTGTTTTCATGTAACTGGCATCTTGTGTGCATCCTTTATACTTCTCCTGGTTGTGTTATTGTTCTTGTGATCACTTGATCAGTGGAAACTTGGTTTTGAATTCTTTCCAGACATTTACAACCATTCATTTTTTACTCTCATAATGTTTGTCCATTCGGAGCTTCTTACATTATCTTAATTTATGGGATATTAGTGAGTCATTCGAGACATTTACAGAGGCTAATTATTTGTGGTTTTGGCAGGTTAAACAAATGTTGATTGCACTTTTACGCGAGTCTGAGATGAAGTTGGCTGACGAAACCATTGAGATAATACTTGATAAGGTAATTTTACCCCATCCAATTTTTCATGGTCGGGTGATATTGCATTAGTGATTTCTTTTTGTCAAGAGGCTCAAGTTTATTGAAAGACTATAATAACTCACCCACACCGGTGTTTACACTAATAAATGCAAGACAATATGTCTTTCATACACACATTTGGTTAAGTGATCCGTATTCTCACTTTAACCTCTAAGATTAAATTGTTTGGTTTGATGTGAACATCGGGTGTTGGTACGTATTTAGCGTTGGAGACCGATGCATATTGAGTTTGCTTTCAGTATATAACTGAGAAATTTCATCATCACTCTTTTAAGTTTGCATTAACACAACCTTTTTGCTTGCTTTTTTTTTTTTTGCTGGTCATTTGCTGTCCTAACTATTGTCTCAACGAACTTCGAATAATTAGTGATCCTATTTCTATATGTAGACGTTTTCAGAGGCGGACTCGAATCAGGACGGAAAGATTGACAAATCGGAATGGCGAAGCTTTGTGGATCGAAATCCTTCATTACTAAAGATTATGACACTTCCATATCTAAGGTATAATATATACCATTTGATCAGCGATATTTAAACGATGAGTCAATCAGGTCACATTTATCTGTTGTAGCTTATGTTACTCGGATTCTTCATAAATGCCACGAGCGTGTGTCAGATCCTCTAGAAGTAATGCATTTTTTGAGGATTTACCACAAGTGCCAAACCATTTTTAGAAAGTTCGAGCAAACATAGGTTGTAGCATCTTTTAGGTGACCTGATAGTGTGAAAGTTTCTTTACGGTCAGTGTATACGAGTTATACTCGTTAAAATATTATACGAGGAGTGTATCGGCTAACGAGATTTACGTTTATAATTTGCAGGGATGTTACAACTACTTTTCCAAGTTTTGTATTTCATTCAGAAGTTGATGAAGGAGCTACTTGAGGAGTAGGGGAAAAAAGGGTGTAGTTCAGATTTTAATTAGTTCTTCTCCTCCATATATTTCATTTGTTTATTTTCCCAAATATATTTTAAATGTATCTAATTTTATATTTTATTGGGGAAAAATGCAAACAATATATATATCTAAATTGGGTGAGGAGGTTTTGTTTAGCCCTCCCTTTTTGTAAATTGGTCCATTAATATATTTTTCTTAGATTCACTTGATTTACTGTTGTTTTGTTCTTTATAAAAAGTTAATTTTACCCTTTGTAGAAAATTATTTTTTTCATATAAGATTTTCTATTTTTTGATATACACGTTGTACTCAGAGTTTTTATACCATCCTTTTTTTATGTGTGTGGTCACATTGTGGAGTTTGACTAATTTGAATTTGCTTGAAAAGTCTTACTTTAGAGAAAAATTACTATAGAACTAGAACTCGAGACGTTGGTTAAGGATGAGGTCTGATCAATACAACTTTGCGTTAATAAGTTCTACATTAAGATAAAATGCATTTTTATCAAAGATGATCCATTCTATATCCAAAATCAAACATGAGACTCAGTATTGTACTCTACTGTTGCAGTAGTCATCAGGTTCATCAATATTATCAAAAGATCTCGTGTTTATATTACTATTCTTGATGATTTGAGTATCATGGACCGTAGAGAGCTCGATCGTTTTGCCATATGAACTTAGAGTTTGTACATGAATATATTTTAATACAATAAATAATGTGAAATTCTTTATTTTATGTCAAATATATCGTGAATTAAATATACATGATTTAGCTATAAAGTAAAGCGATAGAGTCAGAATTTAATATTTATGTGTTGTGAACTTGTTACCAAATGCTCTTTTTTTTTAAAAAAATAATTAAAAAATTTTGGGGAAGGACAGAGGGTCTCAACCAACTGAGCTACCCTCTCACCCCCAACCCCTCTCCCATCCCATTCATTGCTTATTTTAGTTATCGAGTTGGCAATACATATTTAATATTTAATAAGAACTTTAAAATAAATACATTATTTAAGTAAAATCTATTAGATTCACCTGAATCAATATATATATATATATATATTTATTTATTTTTTATTTTTATTTTTATTTTTATTTTTTTATTATTTATTTATTTTTATGTTTTTGATTCAGGATAGGTCTGCCCCCTTTGATTATATAACACTAAATGTGTAAAGATTTTATAGTTTCACTTGTGATGGCAAGTTCTATCACCAATTTTTACTTATAGTAGAGATTTTTTTGTGGTCACCTGATTAACAATTAATGCTTATCATAGAGATTTACCTATAATTACTTTGTAACAAATGAAATATATTTAAATGGTTGATCAACCGCATGTCATGGTCAATTGAAATTCTTCAATCACATAAAAAAATTTAGATAAAAATATAACCATTGTTTCCCTAAAACATCTCTTAACCATAAAATTAATTATCATCCAATTCTTCTTTCTCTACATTTGTTTTCTTCTTTCATTACCAAATGTGTTTAGATTTTTTGTAATCCCCTTTGGAATTTGACTCCATAATCATCTTTTTTTTTTGTGAGAAGAAACAGATCAATTGATTTGTTTTCTTCTCTTTTTTAACAATGACTTGGCCATTGCTTTTTCTCTTGTTTTCATTTTTTGCTTTTTCTCATGCACAACTTACATTGGACTACTATGCTAAAACATGTCCACAATTTGATTCCATTGTGAGGGACATCTCTCAACAAAAACAAACTGAATTCCCCGCCACGGCGGCCGCGACCCTCCGTGTCTTTTTCCACGACTGTGCTGTAGATGGTTGTGATGCCTCCATCCTTATCAAACCAACCGCCTTCAACAAATCCGAGCTCGACTATGACATCAACCATTCCCTTGCGGGCGACGCGTTTGACCTAATCACCCGCATCAAGACCGCGGTCGAGCTCGCTTGCCCGGGCGTCGTGTCGTGCGCGGACATCTTAGCGACCGCCACCCGAAACCTCATCGTCATAACCGGTGGTCCCCACTACAAAGTCCAGTTGGGCCGGAAGGACAGTCTAGTTTCCAATGTATCAAACGTGGAAGCACACCTAACGCGCGCGAATGCGACGGTTGACCTAATGATCAATAAATTCCAATCCATGGGGTTTGATGTCAAGGACATGGTTGTGTTGATTGGTGGTGGACATACAATTGGATTTGTTCATTGTAAGGAGTTTGCTCATAGGATATTCCCAACTCCTGACCCTACAATGAACCCAATATTAGTTGAAAGATTGAGAAAAATGTGTGCAAATTATACAAGTAACAATGACATGTCAGCCTTCCTAGATGTTATAAGTCCTGGTAATTTTGACAATGTGTTGTTCAAGAATTTAATGAAGGGCATAGGGGTACTAGGTTCAGACCAATTATTATATAGTGACCCTAGGACAAAGCCATTTGTTGAATTATATGCCAATAATGCTATTGCATTTGCTAATGATTTTGCTCAAGCAATGAAGAAAGTAAGTGTATATCAAGTCAAGATTGGTCAACAAGGAGAGGTGAGGAAGAGATGTGATTCTATTAATCACATTTGAAAGAATTTGACATAAATTTTTATTTTATTTTATGGGATTTTCGAATGATCCAAGAAGTACTCTCTCCATGATGATGATGATCTGTAGAATTTGTGTTTATATAATATGATGATAAATGATAATATTGGACAAGAATTTATCAGTAATTTGTGATTATTTGATAAATTATTTTTGTTAGTTTGAAATTTTGTTCCATCATATTGTCCCAGGCTGTAATACCATCTTCACATATGTTGTTCATTAATTAAAGTCATGTTGTTTAAATTTCCAAGTAATTAGAGTGGGTAATATAAATGTGATGTTCTACTCAAACAAAACTCATTTTATCCCCAACTATTCACTATTCAAAGAACAACTTTAGCTTCATTCAATATATCGTCTCACTTGTGTCAGTTAAACACTCCCAACTTACAAAATGATAAGCTAAAACACCTCCAAAATTGGGGTTGTATGTAGCTTCCATTTTCGTAGCAAAGAGTATCGAAGTGAATAAAATATATTGAAGCTAATCTGCGAACTCAAAAAATCATTGCAAGAAGAGATGGAAATGATATTAACTTTCTCAGAAAAGATCAATTTCCCCAACAGCATCTAAATGACTAAATCGAGTGCGTTCACAAACATCAAAATGGTCTTGTAATTGAAAAACATATCTGATCTCAAAATTCCATAGACTAGTCATAAGCAGATAAACAAAAAAGCTGATTGATGATTGCTCTAACTCTCAGTTTGCTCCCTCAATCTTCGGATTGTGCTTCTAACTGTCACAGCACTTGCAGTGCTATTGAAGAAAAAGATGAATCAGTTACTCGCGCGAAAAAAAAGAAGGAAAAATTGAAGACAAATATAGACGAGGGAATAAATTATTACTTCAATGTATAAGCACCGCCTGCTTTGACTTTGCCGCAATCTTTACAGCCCCAAATACCCACGGCTTTCCTCTTCACTGCATACTGCTCATAGTGACAAGTATATCTTCAGATCACATGTATATAAGGCAAACCAAGTAGAGCAGAAAGGCATCCCGGAGATGGTGAAATCCCGTTGCATATAGCTGCTAATTTATCCAAAAGACCAAAAAAACATACCTTTCCACAAAACTCGCAGAAGTACTTGCTATGCTGGCTAACCTCCATTTTCTTAATCTGCTTTCGCAGACTGGCACCATACCGGGTACCTAAACAAATATGAGATATTTAGAAACATAACTTTGCTGGACAAAAAACAGAACACATTCTATGTAACTGCAGAAAGAGGAAAAGGCAATCTACATACAAATAATTAAATGTTAAATGAAAAGTATATACGTAGGAGTTCTAATAAAATAACCAGTGGAAAAACAATGGGGATAATTAGATGGATGCAACCAATTGATATTCTTAACAAACCAGAACAGTTCTGCAATTTCCTATGTGAGCTCTTTCTATTTGCTCGAAAAAATCGTCAAAAAATTATCCCATTAAATTTTTCAGCAAGTATTCGTAGATTGAATGAACTAAAGTTATACAAAATTTATGTAACATGTTCTAGTATAATCAAGAATACAAGGAATATTGGCACATCTTTGTTTTAACAAATGTGCAACTAAACTGTGGTTTCTTCAGATTCAGCATGGCTTGCCATTCTAGCTAAGACCAAAGTCTTTTGTGTGAAATACATATAGAAGCAAGTTAATCAACCATATTCATGCATATAAAATGCAGCTCTATCTGTGTATTTATGTAAACAAATATACTGCGTGGACAATGCAAAGGGAAACATAAAAAAAATTATAGAACCATTACTTACCATATTTCCCAACTATTCCAGCCTTCTTGGTCCTCTTAGTCTGCAGAAAAAAAAATAGTATGTTATTTTATAACTCATCTTAAAAAAGCCTCAACTGAAAAAAATGAATCTTCATCATCAAAAGTCATCTACGACTAGGTCCACTTCAATGGTGGAATAAACAAGCACACCTCTACAACAAAGATGTTGCCAATATCTTAATTGATCAGTAACTCTGAACATAATTTCTCATCTAGGAATATTCAACCTCTCAATCCAAATCAATCAAAGCGCACTGCCTTTCCTCGTAATGAAAATATTACAACCAGATGAGCTGAACAAATTAACATTTTAGTTATCTAAACACTCTTTTATTCAAATTGTTCATGAACAAAGCAATGTTTTTCTAAAAAGTGACATAGTGATCAATGAAGCATGGGCTATCAGCTGTCACAACACCAATCCAGCTAAGCTTGAAAACCTTAGTGGATCACTCAATCCAAATCCATCAAAAGTCACTACCTTTCTTCATCATAAGAGTATTACAACCAGATGAACCCACAAACAAATTAACATTTTTAGCTTTCTGAAGGCACTTTTTTTTTTCAAATTGTTCATGAACAGAGCAATGCGTTGCACTAAAGGGTGCGATATAGTGATCAATGAAGCATGAAATATCAGCTGTCAAAACTTCAATCCTGCTAAGCTTACAAAAACTTCGTGTATTCTCTCGATCCAAATCCATAAAAAGCACTACCTTTCTTAGTCATGAAAACATTACAACTAAATGATCCTAGAGAACACAATCTAAATCAACAACAACAAACCCAATGTAATCCCACCTGTAGGGTCTAGAGGTAGAGTGTACACAAAACTCACCCCTAACTTGAGGTTAGAGAGGCTGTTGCTCACACTCAGCTCAAAGAACAATTAAAAAAGGCAGTCACAACAAACAAACAGAAACAACGACAAGATAGCTAGAGAACACACTCTAATGCACAAATTAACATTTTAGTTTTCTAAAGACATCTTTTTAAAACAAATTGTTCGACGAAAATACCAATATACTGCACCCAGATGTACGGGATAGAAGCAAATAAAGCTGGAAATAGACCAAATCAATTGTTAAAACTCCATAACCCGCTAGCTCAAAAACCTAATCCACCTCTGCTATATCTTTTCATAGCTATATCTGAGACCAAAAAACAGCTCCAATTCCAATTGATCAGTATTATAGATCTTTTTGACACTTAACAATAACAAGTAATCAATATCAAACCTGACGAAAACAGAACTATTTTCGCACAAAAAAACAAAAATCAATCACCGAAAACACAAATTTTGAAGAAAGAACAAAAAGATTGAGCTGATGTATGTATGAAAATTGAGAAGTTACCATATTTGCTGAATCGGTTCTCGATGAAGGAAGGGCGTTAGTTAGCAGAGAAACCCTAAATTCCTTCGTTCAACTAATTTATACAAATTTGGATCGGGTTGGGTTGGGATGCGGCCCAGTTGAATGTATTCAGTCTGACCCAAATTAACATCAGGCCCTGACCTCCTAGTTTTTTAAGTATATTTTTTAATACAAAATCGAAAGTCATATTACCAAAATATTCATGAACTAACACTTATGAAAAACTGAAAAATTGCCTATTTTTTGTTAAATGGATCCTAAATATCCAAAAATGTTGTGGATCATCGTTTAATTCATGTTAAATGACTCCTAAATGCCCAAAAAATGTTGTGAATCATGGTGAGGTTGTACGTACTGATCTTTCAACTCATTACAGATGGTCCCATAAAGTCTTTTAAAAAAATCGACCAGAATTCATGTCAACAAAATATTAATGGGCTAACACACGAAAAACTGAGAAAATCTCCTAATTCCTGTTAAACGGCTCCTAAATGCCTAAAAAAATTGTGGATCATGGTGAGTCTATACGTTATACGTATATGTCATCGAACTTTTAGAAAAAAATTATTTTTGTCATCAGTTAAAATTTGGCTCATCTATGTTATTTCCGTCTGAAAAAAGGTTCATTCATGTCATTATTTGTTAACCCTATTCTTGACTTGAACCTTGAGGGAAAGGTTCTTTTATAAAGAAGGGAGTATTGTTGTGAAGGATATTGGGCCGAAGGGCAAGTTTGGCGGTATCGATAGGAATGGGCCTGGACCAATATTGGCAAAGCAGCCCAATAGTGAATTAATAGGAATGGGCCTGGACCAATATTGGCAAAGCAGCCCAATAGTGAATTAAGTGGCTTTGATTAGAATCCGAATTGATAAATAGTAACTTAAAGAGAGCAGAATAGGTTAAGCATATTGAAATTATTGGGTTTGCAAATTGCAATATGTAGAAAAGCACTAAAATTAATCAACCAATGGTACGAGAGTACACCGGTGTACATATCGAGTCCGGTGCATCAAAGTTTTCATATGTGAAATTTGAAAAAGAGTCGGATCACAAGGGTGAAGGGTCTATCGTGGTCTGTCTTATCCTGCATTTCTGCCAGAGTCGTGAAGACAACTCTGGCAGAAATGCAGGATGAAATTGCGTATTATAGACTACATTAGAGGGACTCGTATAGTTTATTTTAATATCACAATAAAAGTAAGAAGAAATATGATTAACAAAACTATATATGTACATAATACTTAATAGTAGGAGCTTTTTCTCTACAATATTAAATGTGGAAAGGAAAAATTTATTATTATTTTGTACAAAGAAAAAGAATATACTCATTTGAGTCCTATAGTTGCAGAAATAACAAATATTTTTCAGACTTTTATGGACTAGGTACTATAATTTAGTTTTTAGCTTTTATTCTCCTCTTTATATGCTATATACTGTATAGGAGTGACTATATATTTTACACGTTACATTGATGAATACATTTTATTTTATAATCGAGAAATCTATGAAGGTCCAGTTTAAACTCGTGACATATGCTGCACGCACTCTTACCACTGAATCAACGCCCCGAGGCCAAATGAATCTCTCTACACAACTGCAACCTCTGCATTTTTCTTAGCATGACTCTGTTTGACAAATCTAACATACAAGTCTGTCCTACTCGAATCGCATTCTGGAAGCCTCGTGTTACCTCCTTCCGACATGTTCTTCACAAACTCAACGAGATTTCTCCAATTCTCGGGCTCGAACAACCTTTTGTTCAATCTCAAATATGTAAATGCACTCAATCCATTTCCAGAGTCTGCTCTGCTTGTACTCAAAACTTGTGCATATCCTCCTCCATCATACCTCTCTAACGCGTTTTCTCCAGCTAGTTCTACTCCAACATTTCTAGTCGCGTTTTTCACTTGTCGAACCAAACCTTCTGGTGAACAATTCGCGCTATGTGGCTGCTCCCCATCCCTCATTTCCATACAAGTAAAGTTAAAAACAACCCCACGTTTCGCGAACATACGTGCTATTGGTAAATAACCATCTTTGTTCCTTGTGTTATAGTACCCTGCTGTTAACTCTGCTGCATGTGATCTTGTGTTATAATGCCAATGAATTCCAGCTACTTTGCCTGATAATTTACAACTTGTTCCTTTGAATATGCCTTCTGCTGATGCTAGGATAGTGTCTCCATGTTCTAATAACTTTCTTGAATACCATTCTAGGAAAAATTGTCCATATTCACTATTCCATGTTCCATCCTTTTTGAAAAAACCAGTTTCCTCTGGAAACTGGTTGTACTGACCAGAATCGTGGGGCCCACCTCGACCCCACGATTCGTTTCCCATTGCATCTGCTGATGCTGCTAGTGAAGCCTTCATGTACTGTTTATAATATCAACAAAGGAAAAAAGTTTAGTTTTTATTATTTTATGTTTCATTTTGTGGAAGTCTCTTGCTAGGGGTTCAACTGAATTCCCTTCGCCTACGATACAAATATAGTAAAAACAACTTTTTTATGTATATTTATATATATACATTGTTGAATCGATTGCCTTGACATAAGAGAAGATTTTAGTGTAGTGACAAAAAGTGGCTTAGACACCATTTAGGCTATGTTGCTTAGATTCTCCAAAAATTTGTTGTTGCACCTATGTTAGATCTTCCAAAAATGCATAATTTTTGAAAAACCAGACATATGCCTATTGATATTTTTGAAGTGTCGGGACAACATAGGGTTTAGATAGGTGTGACATCCTTGTATTTTTTAAGTTCTTTTCATTAAAATTCTGGCTCCGCCACTATCTCAAAATGTAGAAGGAAAAAGTAAAGTTTTACCTTGTCATAGCATTGGAATTCACCAATACCAGGAAATCTCCAAGTACCATTGCTTTCTGGATAAGATGGATATCTTAGTTCACCACAAGGACCCATTCCCACTTGTATTTCCTGTGGAAAAATAAAAATAAATAAAATTAAAATTCATTTTTTTCTCTTTTATTTTAGCTAGGAAAATTGTGGTCCCTAATATTATGACACTTCTAAATTTTTTTAGTGGTCCACTATTTTGTATTTGGTTAAACAAACAAGTTTGGTTGATCACTTTAGATTGACATAAAGTAATTCATTGATTTTGATCTTTCACTTGTTTTTCTATAATATACACGGACAATGTAAAGAATAGTTATATAAATATTTTTCAATTCGTCAGTGCATAAGACTTAAACTTTGTAAAGAAGAATTAAAAGACTTACCACTATAACATCTCCTAAGTAATTCTTGAATCTTTCTCTAAAACTTCTCATGTAATCAGTGTAGACTTGAATTGGTGTTCTTCCTCTAAGTACTGGTAATTGATCACAACCTAAAGAAATGTACTCAGGATTTCTCCTGCCTGATCTATCTGTATACACAAGATCTGGGTTTTTGCTAATTTCTTCAAGTACCCATGGAGGTAGAGGGATGCTGCAAAAATAAATTCACAATTTTAAGATTAATCAGTGGCGGAGCAACAAATGGTGCGGAAGGGTGGTCAGTTGAACACCCTTTGTCAATTTTTTTACTAGTATATATAAAAGTATATTGTGTATTTACTTGTTTCAAGTTAATAGACTGAAGGGAGGTCAGTTGAACTTGTATACAGAAAAGTATATCGTGTATATTGGTCCAAAGTTACTTTTTACATATATATTTATTAAATCTCAAACACCTGTGACGAAATTTCTAGCTTCAGTACTACACTTGATCATAAAAAAAACCTTGAACAACTATAGTACGTAGATTATATATAAATGATACATTTTGAGATTTTGGAAGATGTGGCAATAGTAGGATAGGGTTTTGGCCATAGCCCATAGGTATAATTCTATCAACAATTTAAAAAAGAAAACTAATTGTTGAAAATGGAACAAAACAATAGATATAAAGAGAATGTAAGAAATAATGGTATGTATAGTATATATTAATTTTCAAGAAACACAAACAAAAAATTGCTAAATATTTGAACTCTAGAAAATCAATAAACATTAGTATTTTTTTTAAAATAATAATCAATTCCACTATTAATATTCAAGAAAGTATATGGTCATTAATGACTCATTCAGGTAATAGATAAAGGGGTATACAGTCAAATAGTACCTCTAATGATTAATTGATGCTATCAAATCGTTTTCTTAATAGGTGTATCAGAATATTAAATTATAGATAAAAATGACAGAAGAGGTCAATAATAATACCTGCAGGAATCTCCGACGTTACCACCACACTGATGAAAAGACATGACAACTTGAAGCTTCAATCCATTTGCTTGAACCATCTTGACAAGTTCATCATATCCTTCCCAATTATACTTCAAAGGTCCATCTTTTTCAACCAAACCCCACCAACAATCCACCATTACCCCTTCAACTCCAGCACTTTTTAATGCCATCAAACTAGCATTCATAGCTCTTGGCTTGTTCATATTGCCTCCAATTGATATAGTGTCAAGTGGTAACATCACAAAAACAGGCACTTTGGTACTACTATTGTTGCTATGAGTACTACTTGTGAGCATGTGGAATTTCTCTTTTTCTTCCATATTGGAATTCAAGAATTGAACTTCTTGATTAGAACTTTTTGCTTTGAGATTGCATGATGGTGGATTGATTTTAGCAAAGCAAATCATGCTTGAAATATCATCATGTGTTCTATAATTTTTTCTTTCTTTTTTATTGATAAAAGAAGTTGAAGAACAAGGTGTTAAAGCCATTTTTTTTTTGTGTGTTTTTGTTGAAAATTGAAGTTTGAAAAATAGAAGAGGTAGGGATTGATGAAGCTTTTGGATGTATATTTATAAAGGGGATCAAATATATGATGTATGGATGAGGAAAGTTTTGAGAGTATTATTTTTAAGAAATTAAAAGGGAGAAAAGTGTAAAAGTTCAAGACAGGTCAGCATATATATCTTTTCCAGGTACGTCCCGTTCTCAACTTGACAAAATGACACATATTAAACACATTTATATTTTTAACTTTAGTTATGGTTTCTTTAACCAAGTCAATAAATATAAAATAGTTGTGGGAAAAGATTGACAATTAATATTTGAATTCCTTGGATTTTGGAGGTTGTATCCCCGATAGATATAGTGAGATCCATTCATCTTTAATTAAAGGCTAAGTTTAAGTATTTTACCCTTAATAGGCCTATTTGCACAAATTATACTTAACTTGCCATTCTAGTGTATATTGTGGAACACTAAAACCTATTTTCATGTCTCTTTTGGCTAACTATGAATAGTTTTATTTGCTTGTGTTGTCGGTCTCATCTCATGAATTAATTTTTAGAATTTAACGAATAATTTTATGCAGCGGCATTTAAAATATTATTGTTTGCTATGCTATAGATATTTTTACGGAATATTCTTAATTGGATAGAAAAAAAGGAGAATAAGTGATTTTTATTTTATTTTCAACTATAATTTTCTAGCCATATTTGTGTGATAACCAATGGGTGGCTTGCTATTGCCACAATTGGGCATACCCCACAAGAAATTAGCACATTCTTCTTGTCATGTACTTGAATAAATTCTAGCTCTTCAAACACATTTTGTGGATGAAAATAAATCTTGAATTTCCCAATTTGTATAATTCATAATTTTAAAGATAAGTATGAAATATGAAGGGTTCTAAAAAGAAGTTGAGTTTGTGGGTATAATCAAAAGTCTTTGCTTTACTCTTCTTCAACAACTCTTTTTTCTCAAGAAATCATTATAAGTCACACGTAGCTACTCATATTGATCCAACTTTACACATTTGTTGTATGTGTTACGTTCTAGTCAAGCAACTGCTTTGCAAGTAATAATAAAATGTATCATTCAATTGAATTAGCTGGTTGTAAATACATGATAAATAATAAGTGATGAAAAAAATGATGTTCAAATTAATTTTATAAATAAGTAATTATGTATTTAAATTGAAGAACTGAAACTGATAACCAAATATCTAACTGGAGATTCAGATTAGAAAATACTTGCTCACATCCAATTTAAGCATCAAACTTTGTGTTAATTTTTCATGTTTAAGTGATAATAATGTACATCATATGCAGGATTTTGTGTAAGCAATATTAATTTGACTAGTCAATAGCACAACGACTTATAACCTATTATATATAACAATATATTGGTGTAGAAAATCTCAAATTCAAGATCATTAGCTACACAAATTTCTTGAGTTTGGCAAAAATATAGTTTGCACTTTTAGCTTTGCATACAACTTTTTGAAGGCAAATGATGAAAAGGATGCTTTTGAAGCAATTAGAATTTTTGCACTAAAGTGGACCAACAAGTGATTGAAATGTTTGCAATAATTAAATGAATTTACTCTATCATTAAACTTTGAGTCAAAATTTAGAAAATTGATTGGCTGTGAGTGTTCACACGTGTTTGTTCCACTAACACGTGCAGTATTTTTTGTATGACATAGAAAATAAGATTTTAGTTCCATATTTGTTGACATTATGATGCAAAGTTTATAAATTATAATGCTAAGATTTATAATCCTCAATTATGTAGTACTTTATGATTTGTCGTCGGTTCATTGCATTAAGAAAGGATATATGTCACGAGTAATGCAAAATATACCATCGTAAAGATGGTTGAGTTGGTAAATCACGTGGTATCTCATACGGAAGGTCAGAGAACAATTTTCTTTATCAACGTCTTTCTAATCGTGTTTATCGCATTGAACTTATCTAATACACTTTACATTTTTTGTTTGATTTGCAAGCTAGAGCATGTGAGCGAGGCGAGTTTACCTAATGCACACTGCAATAATAGTGACTGCAGATTTTATTTGAGGGTTAGAAAAAGGTATAATATAATGTTGGTATAATATATCACAAATATAATAAATTACATTTGAAAATAAAATAACAAAAATAAATAAAAATTCATATTCAGGTTGATGTGCGGATATCTCACTCTCTTTAAGGAGATTCAAGCTCACTGTGATATAATTTACACCAATCCAACAATATATTTCTTGACTTGTTATCTGTAAGATACAATAGTCCAACGACGTCATACAACTCAAACAACTTCAGATTAGTTTGAAAGTTCAAAACTCCACAAAAAACACCTTCTTCAACATATAGTTACTCTCTTTTGTATAGTGAATTAGTTAAAGACTTGAAATATTTTTCTTTATCATAATTCTCTTTATTCTTTATATGAAATATAAGAATAATAAGTGTTAGTGTTCCAATAACCAATAAAAAGGCTAGTTCATTAGTTCATAATTTCTAACTAACTCGAATATTTTTTATTTTTTTACTCAATTTCAGAAAAAATAAAAGAATAAATAAAAAGAGGGGCAAAGTGCTACAAAAAGAACTCTGTTCGATTTTTTAGTCTATCTATAAGTAATTGAAGAGTTGGAAACTTGGAATAAAGATGTTGCACAATGGCACTTCAATGTACAAAATAATACCCACCAAATGTAAATGCCACAATTGTGCAGTAGCACACTTTGATAATTTTAGAATTATGCACTTTAATATCAAATATAATATTAAAATGTAATTTTTCATTCATGTTAATATTAAAATGAGAGAGTACTTCACAATTTAGTTAAAGGTAAATCTTAATTTTGGTCCTTATAATATATGGCTTAATACATTTCATATTCAATTAGTCTTTTTTTTTAACCATCCCCTAGGAGCTCCCACCCCTTTTGCTCTCTTGGTGACTCGAACTCACAACCTTCGAGTTGGAAGTGAGGAGTGTTTACCATCCGAGCAACGTGTTTTGATTCTTTTATGTAGAAAATATTTATAATTTAACTATTTTCATAACTATATTACTCCCAGATATGAAGTAATAATACAAGTCATAACAATGAGTAATTAAATGTTAGAACATTTAATAGTATTTGAAATTTGTGAACAAGGGATGAAAGATTATAAAAAAAAAGGATCAAAGGGTTTTATGATCGGAAAAAGAGAATTTTAATAGCGATTAAATTTCTCTTTTTAAAAAATATAATGATCAGGACGTCAATTCTATGAGATTTCAGCGAATATTCACAATCAGCAACAACAACATACATGATAATCAAAATTTGATTATGTCAAAATATTTTATTCATTAATTAGGAGGAGAATATATTTAATTAGAGATTTGGATAATGCATATATCAAAGGGACCCCAAATGTCATCAATTAAGAAAACAAAATACAGTCAGATTGTTTTGTATTTTATGTTGTTTTTTCATCAAAAGAAGTGACAAGAAAAATCCACTTGGGATGAGGTTAAATATCAAGTGGAATCATCTAGCATCCTTTCAAAATGTTTTAGTGGTTGTGAATCATTGCTCCTTGAATTGTGTTGAGTTTTGCTATATTTTAAAATTAGGAGCGTAAAATGACTCATGATTTGAATTTGAACAGATTAAAATGAAATTAAGTTACTATTAAATAAGCATGTCAAAAAAAGTCATTTTTTCTTTTACTCTCCGTCACAAGATAAATGGAGAAAAAAAATCATAAAAAATCACTTTTAACCTTGTAATTAAGAAAATAGTCATTATCTCTAGAAAATCTATAAATTCAAAATAGCAATAACTATTTTCCGAAATATGATTGAAAAACGATCAATAAATATTATTCTTACCCGATATAATTTAAAGATCCAACATGAACTTTCTCTTGATTTTGAGCCCTCAATTTGGTTTTCAATAAGAAAAAAAAACAATTTAGAAGAATAAAAATAAAGAAAAAGATTTCAAAGAAAGCAATACAACACTTTTTTTTTAATCCATTTTTTCATTTTCTTATTTTCTTTTACTCTACAATCATGAGACAAATGGAAAAAATTCACAAATAACCACTTTTACTGTCATACAGTTTTAAATTTTATAAGCGAAGCTTTAGAAAAATGTTCTTTTATCCACTATCATGAGATAAAGAGAGTAATTTCTCAAATAGCCATTTCAACTTTCGTAATTAAAAAATAGCCATTGTTCTTAAATGTTTTAAAATCCACAAGTGAAAACTCTATCACTTAACTATTTCGCAAAGACATGATTAAAAAGTGGCTAATGAGTCGTCTTCATGGGTCTCAATAATCTCCTTTGCGATGACCAAAACATGTCGTGCCTGATCAACTTGAGGAACTTATTATGGAGATAAGTATCAATTCACGAATTAAATATCTGTTTTTACACGATAAAGTTCGAAGGTCCAACATGATTGAGGTTCTTTCATCTTACGGATGATGATGAGGAGGATTTATTCGGTGATGAAGACGCTATGAGTTGAGATGAGGAGTTGGGCCTAAAATTGGGCTTTCTATTTGGGCCACTAACAAAGAAAAACCTCAACACTTGAGGTTCTAATGGATCTACACAATGGGCAAGATTGGGCCACAACATCACATTCTATACAAAGACACAAATGCCTACAAGGCAAAAGCACAACTGAAGCGAACCGTTTTCTACAACCCTTGCAACTCGGCCGGCCGGTCGACTCAACAACCCGGTCCGGATCAACATAAACCGACTCAGCATCCTCCGCCTCTCCGCCACCGTTTCCCTCCGGCGGAATCATTCTACCGCCGTTCACCATCGCCTGCTGTAGCTGAGCTTGCAGCGTCGCCGCCGTCACTTCCTGTTCACAAGCCTTTACTTGCCACGCACGCGCCTCCCCGATCAGCTGCGATGCACGCGCCTCCAGCTCCGTATTCCGCCTCGACGCTTTCTCCACCTCCGTTTCCTTCTCTTTCAGCCTCCTCGCCGTTGATTCCTCCACTGCTCCGATCAGCGCATGATAGTGACGCTTCCTTTTCTCCTCTAACGTACGCTTCAATTGTTCTCCCTATTGGCATAATTTACGTACATTTTCATTTATTTACTTATCCGATGCTCGGCTAGCCTCGATGCAACAGTAAAATTGAAAAAAACAACCGAAAAATTTTCAAATCATTACCTGGAGTTGGAGGAAGTGATCAATTTCATGTTGTTGTCGTTTGATATGAGAGGCCAGAAAATCGTCTGTTATTGTTGATGATTGATGATGCAGAGATAGATGAGAAACAGAATGTTGTTGTTGATGATGATGATGCAATTGATCTCCGAAAGCTAATTGAAGGCCAGTAGATACAATATTTGTGTGTTGCTGGTGCTGGTGCTGCGATGAATTGTTGTTGTGAAGTTGAGTAAGATTGATCAGTTGATGTTGAGATTGGATCGACATTAATGGATTCCTCGTCTCTGTTGTTGTTGTTGTAGTAGCTAAGGTATTCTCTCTTCTTCTTTTTCGCGAATTCGCCTCAACTGCCATTGCAACAAACAAAGAAAAAAACAGAGATTACATCAGTTCCTTTTGTATTGAATCAATCTATCAATCAACTAGTCTCGAGTTCGAGCCTGATGATGAAAAAAAATCCTTTTTAATAGGTCATATCTATGCGAATCCAGATTAATCCGACTACTGAATGTGACATTGGAATTTTGTGTGCAATTCTATCTCCCACGAAAAAAATCTAGAAAGTAATTAACCAAATTCAGATTAGTTAGATCGTTGATATACCTAAATTGTGTGCTTAAAATGTGTGAAAAAGAGAGTAATCTAAATTTTTTTTACCTGCTGGATTGAATAGCATTTGTGTAGGATCAAGAAATGATTCTTCACCAAAAACTCCACTTTGTTGTTGTTGTTGTTGAGTTTGTTCTAGTACTAATGATGAATAATTGTTACCAATTTGGCTCTTTCCTTCTTGTACACTTCTATTTAGAAAGAGAACATTTGATGGGTATTGAGCTTGAACTGCCATCTTTGAATGAATTAACAAAGGGAAAACGGTATGATATACCCCTCAACTTTGTGATTTTGAACTGGTATATCCCTTGTTAAAAAAATAGCTCAGATATACCCCTCAAACTCGCAAAGTTTATAAAAATTGCAATAGAGAAGTGTGATTGGTGAGCCTAATATACTCTTCAACCTCACAAACTTTATAATTTAAAGTTGATATATCTCTTGTTGCAAAAGTGACTCACATATATCGTTAGAATTCGAAAGGTTTATAAGAATTGCAATAGAGAAGTGTGATTGGTGGAGGAAATGAGGAAAGAAAGAGAAAGGAGAAAAGGTTAACAATAAAGGCTAAGACATAAACAACATGAAAGAGAAGAAGATGCCATAATAAACCATTTGTGGATTCTTCAATGACCCTTCAAAATTCAAAAATAATTTCGAATCGTGTATTATTGAACTTCAGAAATTTCTCGATTATTTTTGAAAAAAAAATATATATGAAAGATTTAGTGACAAGAATGAATGAGAAGTAAGAAGATTTTGATTTTTGAGAGGGAGAGAGAGAGTTTAAAGTGGAAAAAAAATGAATCTTTACTTTAAGGTCTATATAACACCTTTTTTTTTTTTTAATTTCAAAGGGAGAGAGATATGTGATTGAAGGGAATCAGTCCAAAGAGAGAAAGAGAGGGGTTGCCCCAAATTTTGGTTCTTTTGTTCTTTGGTTCGTTGAGTCAGATTCATAATTTGAATTTAAATTTTCTTAGATTTGTTGCGTTCAAAATTGGCCTTTCACAAGGGAATAGCTACAATTCTGCTTTGAATTTAAATTTTCTTAGATTTGTTGCGTTCATAATTGGCCTTTACAAGGGGATAGCTACAATTATGCTAATAAGATGACAAAATTTAATAGTTTTGGCATCTGATCATGTATTTATATTAAAAATATTCCTAATATGTGTAAATAATTTTAAATTCAAAATTAAATATGTTTAGTGATGTATGATAAGGATTAATTTTTATTTATTTTTACTAATTGAGGGTTAAATTTTTTAACTATTCTAAAAAATAGTAATTTAGAAACCAATCCTTTAAAAACCAAAATATACTCTTGGTCAAATCTCACCACATCCCCACACTATTTTATGGATGATGATGAAGGTTCACGTGGATCTAATGAATTACATTTTGAACCTTTTTTTTTTATAAAAAAAATGCACTATGGAATATTATCTTGGTTTAACCAATTATGTCATGTGCCGTGGTGAATGGTTCGAAATTCAATCATTCTAAATCACAAGTCTTGAGTTAGAGTTTCTGTGAATGAAAAATATCATGTTTGGAAGCGTCGCTCCCCAAAAATAATCATGCTTTATACGATTCCAAATTTAATCGAATCTCAATACAAATACGAAAAATATAACTAAGTCATGTGGCAAACTGATCAGCAAGACACTCCTCATATCATCTCCCACATGTGTTGCTGCAATTTCTTTATTACATCTATTAAACCAAAAACCTTTAATAAAAAGTACAACAAAAAAGAGAAGTAGGAGCATATAATATTAAGTATAGGATATATAGGAATAAGAGTTTTAACTTAAAAACTAAAAAAAAGAGTTTTAAATTTTATAGCCTTAAATTAAAGAGGTCTTAATACTTATAATTAGTCAACTTAAAAAGTTTCACCTGTCTAATCGTAATAGTTTATAATCCTTACTGACGTATACTTGACGTATAACAAATGTATATAAATTAGAATGCTTATTGAGTATAATGATTATATATTAATTATAATCAGAATACCGACTAAATTAATAATAATAAAAAATATTGTTTTCCTTATTGTGAATATTAGTACCTGAATTGGGAGTGTATATGACATATCAAACTTTTTATTAACTTTATGAGTGTAATTTACATTTTCTATGTACCTAAATTGGGAGTGTACGTCTTTTTAATCGAGTTCTTCATATTAGATTTGTTTATTATAATTTACATTTTCTATATAATTTGTGAGTTATTATATAAAAATAAATGTATCCGATGCACATCTAAGGAATACTGGTTGCGGATTCTTTTTAATCGAGTTACTCATATCATATTTGTTTAGTATAATTTACATTTTCTATGTAATTTGTGAGTTACTACATAAAAACAAAGGTATCTTATGCACATCTAAAGAATAACAGTTGCAGATTCTTTTTAATTGAGTTCCCCGCATTAAATTTGTTTAGTATAATTTACACTTTCTATGTAATTTGTGAGTTACTACATAAAAATGAATTTATCTAATACACATCTAAAGAATAGCAATTGCAAATTCTTTTTAATCGAGTTCCTCACATCAAATTTGTTTAGTATAAATTACACTTTCTATGTAACTTGTGAGTTACTATGAAAATAAAAAGAATTTACCTGATGCACATCTAAAAAATAGCAATTGTGAATTTTCCTCTATATTCTAAAAAAATGAAAGTATATTAGGATGAAAATGATGTTTCTAGATTTTTGAAGATTCTCAACCAGGCCAAACAAATTGACAATTTAGACAATTAATTACTAACATTATAATTAACTTAAACAAGTGTTCACACTTTAGACCAAATCAATCTAACACCAATCTTTCTTGATAATGTTTATAAACTTTCAATTGCATGCACGTCAAAATTTTCCATCCATTTTAAAGCAAGTAGGGCCTATTCATATTTCATTTGTCATTTATATCATTGCAAAATCAATTAGTTCAAAACATGTTGGTTGTCATACTAATATAGCACTTTAAAAAAATTAAAAAATTATGTGGTCCTTCATTTAATAATTTTTTTTAAAATATTTTCACATAATATTCGATATTCATTTTATGATCCTGACAATTTATTGAATTTGCACTACATAAGTCTTTTCAAATTAAAGGAAGAAGTGTTTTCAATAAAATCGAGTGCTAGCTAATTCCCGTTTTATTGAATTAATTGATCAACGTTCTAGCAGATATTTGTTCTGAATTCAATAGTTTTTACAATTTTTTTAAATTATTTATTATTATGGAAATCAATCTTACTACTTTTATTTTTGCGGTTTGTATACTTGAAAAACGAAAATTGGGGCGTGTTGTCCAAATCATCGATTTGGTATATATTAGACGGAGCCTTTTTCCTCGGGTAAAATGTCGAATATTTATAACGTCCTACTAGGGTTTGTATTTCTGATATTCAAATTTGATACCTCTGATTAAAAATAGAGACATACTATCTTTCCGATCGCAACCCTAGCTAGTCTTCCAACAACTAATTATCACTTTTGGACTTTGTATTATTTGGTTTAATTAGTTTCTAATTGACAAATAGCACCGTCCTCTTCCTAACCTACCCACTATAGTACCTATGCCTTTCTTTGCACCAAAAGCACATCTCAAATCAAACCTAAGAATAGAAATTAACGATATATAAATTTTATAATATAAATTAAAAAAATGATCGTTAATTTTATTTAGTGACTGATTTATGATAGATTTTAAAAAGATTTTTTTTGTTACAAGCGATAATAGATTAACGACGAAATTCATAGACTTTTATTTAATTTACAAGTGAGAGGAACTTATATCCTCTCATTTTCAACCTTTTCTCAATTTTGGAGATAATTAACTTCAGCTTTTTAATTAATTTTATCCTTAATTAGAAGTGTTTCATCCACACAAATTAAATATTATGAATCAAGATCATACGTTATAAAAGTTTTATAGTTACACAAACATTATAACACGCACATTTGATTAAGAGTTTAAGATCACATGTTTTAAAATTCTTATTTTCTTTTAACTTCGTATTTATTCAAATAAGTTCACATAAATTAAAATAGATTAACGTAATAATGACAACATTTAGCTAATGGTGCTTAAAGATTTTTAGTGGGCAGAAAAATAGAAAGGAGGCCTGTTAATTAAACAAATAATTTGGTACAAGATCCATCAAATTAAGGAGAAGCAATCAAAGAAAAATATGGCTATCTTTTGATTGAAAATCAAAAGAATAGATGGAAGTGGTGCAACAACCATGTTTCTTATCTTAAAATTAATTATAATGATGAAAGTAGAAAGAAACATGTTTTTGTTTTCTCGGTTATCGTATTATTTGTTGTGATTATATTATTTTTTTGTCTTGATTATCATATTATTTATTGTGAATGCTATTTTTTTTTAATTAATTTTAATATGGTTTCTTAACTACTGTAGTTCTTTTTCATACCTGATTTAATTTGTTGTGTTTTTCTTGAGTAGGATCTTTCGTAAATAACCTCTCCATCCTCAGATGGTAGAGATAAGATTTGCGTACACAACACATTTTTCAGAAATCACTTGTGGAATTACACTCGTGTATATTGTTGTTAGTGTTTTGTTGTTGAAAGCAAAAGATACATGACTTTTTTTTCGCTTCGGTTATATCGTATTATTTGTTATTGTTATTATCTTTTTCTTTATTATTTTCATCATGACTTCCTTCACTATTATATTTTATTTTCATACTTGATTTATTATATTTTTCTTGGACCGAAAATCTTTTGTAAACAATCTCTCATTTTTTATCAAATAGGGATAAAATTTACGTACACACTATTCTTTTCAAATAATCCTTATAAAATTACATTGTTGTGTATATTGTTGTTGTTAAAAGCAAAAGAAAAAAAAAAGCTAATAATGTTCTAATTAAGCTAATTAAAAGTTTCATGAATTTATGTGATGTGTTTGACAAGTCATTGGATAGTGGAATATTTATTGGTATTGATAAGCTTCACTTATTAATCAATCAATACTTCAAATCAAACAACACCTAGAATGACTTTGCAATTTCTTTCTAGGTGTGCTATGTATTGTAGTGTAAGTGGATAGATAATTACACCAAAAATTATGATAGGAGGGTAATTAAATGCTTTTAATTACACCAAAAATTATGATAGTGGAATATTTATTGGTATCTTTAATTAGAGGTTCTGATTAAATCAGGTTATGATCTCAACACCCAT